CTGACGAAGGAGGCAAACTTTGAGAGAAAGGGAGAGGCAACGCCAAACTCGCCAGGAATAACAAACGAAAGGCTCTGGACGATCTGGTCCACGTTTTCTTTTTTCTCCTCCCTTCTTTTCGCCAACCACATCGCTCGATTCTTCTCCCAACTGGTCCGAGAGTACCGGTAATCGAGCGCTACCAGGTTCCCTCCCCTTTGGATCAAATTTCCCGCAAATTTTTCAAATTCCACCTACATATATATATATATAATTCATAATTTGAGAAGGTACACGCATTAATTTAACTTTGACCAATTAGCCGAGGGATATCTCATTTCACCGAGCACACTGATAATAAGTTACGAGCGTCGAATTACACGAGCAACAAAGTTGACTATACAACACTACGCGTAAGCGCGCAGTATATATAACACGTGTATGCATAATTAAAGCTTCATTAGGGGAGGAGGGGGTGCGTTATCGATATTTCCGTGAATTATTTAACACATGCTAGATTTTAACTGGCAAAGTTCAACAATCTCAGCGAACCGCGATGCCGGTGAGTATCGATGTTTATATATATGCACGCGCGCGCGTCACCACAAGTACAATATGTAGTTGCTCGCTAAACAACGACAAGATTGAAACAACAAAAAATTTAAACAGCCGGTGCTTTTAAACGTCAATCAGCCATCGACTCCAGCGAGTATCGATCTCTAATTTCGTTCCTCGCGTGCGTGCTCGCTGATGAATTTCCGAGTGGATCCTCTCTGTATACACGTACCGCGCGGAAGTCGATCAATTTACCGTTTTAATTGCTGCAAAGTCGGACCCATCGAGCGAGGAGGGTGGGCGGGGGGTGGGGAGGGAGAAAAAAAATAGCGCTACGTAATAAACACCGCGACGTCAAAGAGGTGGCATCGAAATTCAAATTCGATCGACGAGGCAAACTTCCCTCTCCCGTCCGGATCGAGTGTCGCGACGTCCCCCGGTGAGTTTTCAATTTCAACTTTCTAATAGCAGCGCTCCAGCGAGTTCCGTGGGGACATAATTGGAGCCGGGTTTCAACCTCCTCTGCGTACACCATCGATCGAAACAACCCGCTCGTTATCCCATCATCGAGTTCTTCCTCCCCCAGATTTTTAGCCTCGTCGCCAGGAATGGCCCACCCATCGGAGGTCGGTGCAGTAATTTGGTCATTTTGATTGATGTTTCGCGTACACCTGTAACCTGCCGAGAGTATTTACACGCGCATTGGGTAACCACGAGCGGGTGCATCGTGGATGAATTAGTTTCCATGTACCATCGAGGCTCAAAGTTCACAATTGCGGCCGGAGGAGTTGGTGGGCGGAACGAGTTCGGCGACCCGCGCGGGTGGAGCAAGTCGGGCGCCCCGTCGTGAACTTGGAAACTACAAATTCTGCCAATCGACGTCTCCAGCAGCGACGGGACGAACAGGGGTAGTGCACGTGGGTGCAAGGGAGGAGGGAAGGAGCGACTTTACTTACACATATAGGTATACGCGAATAACTTTTAATTGGTATCTGGAATATCGCGTCGACTCGTGTCACAACTATGGCACACTTTACCTCCGCGCAATCGCTTTTGTACAATACGTATGTCTTTGATGGATGGCAAATGTACGTATCAGTGATGTATAGTTGTTTCGCGAGTCAAGTTGGTTTCAGGGGACGAGCATTGGTGCAACTACTTGGCCGTGTTACATGATTATAACAGAGGAAGTTTCCGGTTGCGACGATCTGCTACTCTTTTTTTTTTTTTCTTTTTTTTTTTGTTATCGAGTTTTGGGGTTCAATCATTCGTCTCTCGTTCGCACACGGGTTTCATCCAAGAGGGTACGCGTCTCTATGAGCAGTGACTTTTCCACAGCCGTCGACATTTCGGATAACACAGTCGCCGTTCGTTTGGATCTTTAAAGCTTGTTCTTTGTTTATCATTACTACCAATAAAATATTTAGTCCAAAAACGAACGATTAAAACTAGAGAGACGATGGCTGTGGGAAAATCGTACCGCAAGCCTTTGTAAAAAAAAAAAAAAAACAATTGAATCTTAAGGTTACGGGGATTTTACAAGAGAGACAAATAAGAAAAAGATCAATAAAGTTTCATACAAACTACTTGAATCCCAAGTATGCGTGGAACCCCCCTCCCCTGCCCCCCAGTGTGTGTAATAGGTATGTATGTTGATGCATGTACTTTGACAATGGATAATTAATGTACGTACAATATGTATGTATGTATACACATATAATATAGCTTAACGATTAAAATGTAATAACAACTTCCAATATGGATTAGAAAAATATTAAATCTGTCGTTATTTGTTACCTTTCTCAGTTTGTAATTCAACTATGTGCTCGTTATAACGATAATCATCGTCACGCTTACAACTCGTGCGGTTGAGAGATCCCAACGCGCGCTAATCATCCATACATCGATCAACGGACCAACATGTAGTACATACATATTATATGTATATAACAGTACTCGTCGACTCTCGCGCACTTCCCGTTCATTCGTCTCATACTGCATACTTATACATCTACAATACCAAGTGCACATTCACCCTCTACTCCTTGCACCTTTTTGGCCCTTGCGTACAAAAAGTGACGAGTTCACCTCGCATCGCTTTTATCCTACCATCTACAACCGAGTTGGTAAAGTCTCTCTGTTGTTTCGTTAGCCAAGGAGCTGGTGTTCCGACACGAGTCTCTCTCTCTCTCTCTCTCTCTTTTTTTTTAAACTCATATGTACAAAGGGGAGGGAGGTTGCTTACATCACACGACACACCAAGTCTCTTTGTCCGTCCGCAGTGGCTCGACCCGCGCACACCGTCGCTGCTTTTTATATAATATACGCCCATCCCCCTGTCCTGTTTGTTTCCCTGCTTTTCTTCTCTGTTTGCCCTTCGGTGACGCTCCAGATTTTTCCTCGGCAATTCGAGCACAGCCGAGTGAAATTTCGCTCTTCTCTCTCTCTCTCTCTCTCTGTTTGAGCGTGTACAGGTGGTGATATCATTGCTAACTATCGTCTATCTTCGATGTACGTAATCAGTGGTTCGTTTGACTCGTTTTAAAGTTATCCCGTACGCCGGATCGACCAGCGAAAACACACATCGGAGGGAAAAAACGCACGTCACGGGTATATACGTACAAAAGCGCGGATTCCTTGGAACAAAAAAAAAAAAAATAGAATCATCCAGCCTTTCGACCCGCGAAAGTAGAAAGTTTCAAAAAAAAAAAGGGGGGGGGGTAAGAAAGAAAGAAAAACGAGGCACAATGCGCGGGAACGGGGTCGCGGAAAGCGTAAAAAGCGCACGTACGTATACACAGTTCTTTCTTGTTGGCGCGGTCAAGCTTAGACCTACACTTCCCCTCGCGAGTTAATTAAGCGCACGTGTGTGTGCGCGGGACCGGCAGTGGTTTTCAATTCCCATGTACAGCCCCACTTAGTTTTCGGCGCTTCGCGGTGGTGGTGGTGGTGGAGCTTTTATCACCCTGCACTCGCCGAGTGGAGCGAGTTTAGCTCTCTCTTCTGGTTAAACACGGAATTACTAGCTCAGTGTGTTGCTTGACACGGTATCAGGATCTGCTTAAAGCGATATACATATTTTTGCACTGTCGAATCGGTTATAAATACATCAAAGTAATGCCCAGTGCTCGGGAGCTTTTTCACGCACGCGCTTGCGAATATAAGAGTATAGGTTGGCGAGGGTGGAGGCTTGCTTCTCCAGCTCGGAGTTAAATTAACGCACGTTCGACGGCGCGGCAAAGTTCTGCTCGTGCGACGTTTGAACTCAAAGCTCTATTCCCTGGTTGATCCTGTCCGCGTCGTCTTTGAGGCATATATATACATCTTGTCTCCCGAACTTTCATGGATATACGGCAGAATCTCTCACCTTGTGGATGATCACAGCCAAAGGGAGTCTTTCACCTCTACGTACAGTGTGTACAGGATGATGTGCAAACGCTTGGTGGTGCAAATTTTTCTACCGGATTTTCGAAACGGCTGCGCTCTCCGATGGATGGAAGGCTTTTTTTCCAGTGCACTCGGGCGTCCAATGAAACAAAACAAAAAAATATAACGCAACGAGAGAGCAGCGGCAGTTTGAAGCAGAGAAAGGGGGAGGGATGAAATAACGAAGCTTACGTTCGCGTGCGGAATAATAAAAATGAGTTATAAACTTCATTTTTCAAAAGAATCTTTCTCCCTCTCTCTGGTGCATCCATCATCCTCCCCGAATATGTGATTTCCATTATGCCGCGTCCCACTGTGGGTGTGTATAAACATACACGTTATTCAGTGATGATAATTATAATAAAAAAAAAAGGATCACGCACACTCGGACCTTCGGACCGTTACATTTCTTGGGTATTTTCAATTTTTCCGATGTTTGTGTACGCCCGATGTACATGGGGCACTTGAATTGTCTTTCGAGCAATTACCAGCGTGAAAAGCACATTTCGCGAGCACGTTCGCTGACTTGAACTCCCGTGTCTCTCTCTCGCACGCGCGAGTGCTTTTGAAGAGCCAAAGAACGGGAGAAAGAGATTAATAAACGGGGGGAGGGGGTGGATAAGAGAAGAGAATTGATTGGTCAGGAGGAGGAGGAGGGAGGGAGGACAAGAGCGAGAACGGGCTTTTTGTTAATTTCCTCCATCGGGCGCTAGCCTCGGGCACGGAAAAGCAAAGATCGATCTCGAGTGAGGGAGGGAGGGAGGGAGGTTCTCGTTCTTCTATTTTTTTTTTTTTTTTTTTTTCTCCTCTCGAGTGACTCTGCTGTTTGTGCTTCTTCGACCGTCATACCTATACCCTCGGTTTTTCCATCTCCTCCCCCTCTTTGCGTACACGCGATGTTAGCTGTGCCACCATCACCACCAATGACGTATATTTCGCGTCCATTTGCTTATCAGCGCTCATTCTCTACCGCCAAAGCTCACCTGCACTCCCGTGTCACGATCCACCTAAATTGATACCCCCCCCCCCCTTGTCTAAAGTCCCCTCTTCCTCGCATCCGATCCCCGTTACTGCACTTGATTTACCAGCGCCGAGTACGGGATTTTCGAAAAATCCCGAGAACCCTGATGCACGTGGCTATAGACAGAGGGAGAGAGAGGGAAAAGCAGACTCAGCCGTATGGATATTATTCGCAAGACGCGCCAATAAAAATCGACGTTCACACGCTCGGGTTGCTTCGGAAAAGCAAAAGAGCGCACCCCCTAGCTCGGCGCGCGGGTGTACATATAACGTTATATACAGGTAGTCGAACCGGAGGTAGTGGTCGAACGGACACAGAGAGACCAGAGTAATCTATAGCGAATGTTATTCGGGTCGTGGGTGCGGAGTAGGAGAGACTCATTGTTCGGGCCAGCCGAGATCCTCGCCGATGAGGTCGTAAAACATCCGGTTGAGCCCTGAGAAGAAGCCACGCAGGGCAGCCATGGCCGTAGGACTGACCCGTGGGTGCCTGCGGCCCTTGCTCTCGCGCAGGCACTTCTCCTCGGTGTCGTCGCGCATGCAGTAGAAGCCCTTAGTCCGGTTGAAGTAGAAGTTGTGCCTACCGATGCGCGACTCGAGCCTCAAGAAGCTCTCGATGCGCTTGAGCTGGGGCACGGGGTCGTCTATCAGCTGGTCGCCGTTCACCACGAGGATCTGCCGGCGGGAGAAGACCGACAGCCAACGGCGCATGTGCACGTGGTACATGCTTATGGAGATGGGTCGGTAGTTTTCGTTGACGCTGCCGTCGGCTCGTATGGCTAGTTCCTCGAAGCTGCGCTGCTGGAGAGCCGTGGAGTTGGCATTGGGGAGCGGCGAGGCTGTCGTTGCCGCGTGGCTCCGTAGCTGGGCGTAGTCCGAGATGGCGCGGGTCACCGGCTCGCGGACTATCAGCAGCAGCCTGACGCTCGAGTTCATCGCGTGGATGCGCTCCGGCACCTGGTGGGGTACATTCGTGACTTTTTTTTTTTTTTTTTTTTACCATCAAGGGGGAGGGTAGGTAACATTGGGTTCACATTTTTTCAGGATCTTGGATATGTAACTGAGGTAGGTACGCGTTTTTTTTTATCCTTTGAAAGTAATTTCTTTTTTGCGAGTATTCCCTTGAGCTCCGAATTAAAAAGTTGAGAGGTTCGTTATTGTAATCTTTCAAAGTTTGCAACCAATGAAAAGAAGCTTTGAAAAGCTGGAGCGCGAGCTTTGTTTTTTTTTTTTTTTGTAGCGTAAAAAATTATTAAGTTCTCAGATTTTTTCTTTCCAATTGTTCAAAGTATTTAATTAGTTTTCTGGCAAGCTCCCGTGGCTTCGATGTTGAAGCGAACAATTTTCAAGCTTACCGGTCATTAAAAATCGTCCGATGAAAATGTGATTTATTTAATAACATTCATATTTTTCACATCAATACCATGACATTAAAAACAGATGAGGAACCTTGCGATGCAGTGTACAATGGAGGAGGTATTTCTTGGGGATGGTATATTTCTTTTTTCAAGGAGCTCGGGTCAGGCACTCGAAAGGGATTGTCACGAAAAATCGTTAAACCGTTAAATACCAAACAGTATATGTATTTCGTCTCTGTTGTTTGAAAAATTGAAACGACTGTACTGTATTCAACCCACGGGGTAGATGAATAATCCACGTTTCCAAACCAAAAATAACACAGTGTCAACGTCACTGCTGGTTGAAAACGAAGGAAAGGAAAAAAAATTATTCCACGAGTCAGGTGAACCCGACAACCCATTGTCATTCGTGACAGTGTCGTTATAAGTAATATAATACACACCGCGGCGTGACAAGCCCTTTCGTCCTCACGCTGTACAAAAATGATGTAAACATTACACGATTTTGTCCATTTGATGAAGTAAATTTTTCATTTCGTTCTTATAAATGTACATATGCATATAAAAATACGTACGTGACGTGATGGTGCATCGAGCGTGCATCGAGAGATTGTTTGTGCGTGCGTGCAGAAGATAGAAAGGTGATGGAGTGCAGTTGCGGCGCACACACGTGAGACACACGTTGATTATCATTTATTAGTGATACTCGTATCATCAACATTATCATAATTATCATTATCATTATTATTATTAATACAATGTCAGTGCTGTGATGTGCAATTTTGTGCCATTTGTACGCTACGCTGTGCTGGTTGCATTCCGCTAGATTTGGAGAAGAAAAATTATACATATTAATGTAGTCAATTGTAAGAGAACTACCCCATACGTTGTACGTCACAATTGGTCACAGTATTTACTTTTTTTTTTTTTTTTCTCAATACGTATGAGTGCACGGGAAACAGGGTAGTTCTCTACAGCCACATTGCGTCGCAGCCGTCCGGGGACATGTGGATCATTGCACAAAAAAAATCAATTAAATTATTTACTTTATTACTACTAAATTGTAGCAACACTTTGCATGGAGGCGAAATTCAGGAAAAAATTTCCAAATACTACGTCTGAAAAGTACCCATGAAAATATTGCATTTTTTGTGTAAACGATCCACACATGCAATCTCGAACTGCTCGATGTAATATTAAACTCTCCGTCCAATCTGATTGATGAAGGATCGGATGATCCTTGCTGGATATACGTGTAGATTTCTGTCTAGCGCCGATGATACGTCACTCGCTGGCTGGAACATCGATTTTCGATACACCATATGGAGGTCTCTGATTTTCAAATTTCCTCGTACCTCCTTCGGAATTATTGACGAGGCGATGTGCACTTTGTACAGCCCCCCCCCCCCCGAGTGAACGAAGAATTTGAAAATTTAATGCATTCGCGTATAGGTACTTACGACTCTGACGGAGCTTGACACGCGTTTCCGATTTTTTTACCGATTCAAATAGAGAGCGTCGCACCGGAGCTGTTAACCCAAAGTGGTGTAGTAGGTATATACTTAAAATTTGATTGAAGCGTTACTGATTCATGTGCAATACTCGTGTACCGGCAAAGCTGAATGTTTAAAATGACGCGATCTGAGCACGATTTAATTAATATGATAATTAACGTCAAACGTACACCCGTATGCTCGTTACCGATCGACTTTATCAAACATCGCGAGGTGTTGATTGAGATTTTTTTTGCGCTTCATCCAATTAAAATGTTTTTCCGTTCATCATTAATTATAGCTGCAGTAAGCGTGAAAGATCAATCGAAACCGTGTGTTCTTCTTCGGTAAAAAAAAAAGGTGCGTTTTATCGTGTACCAGATACGATATACTAAACTTCTTCAGTGGGTAGTACCGATTATCGTTCGGGTGCATTTTTTGCTATCGGCCATCGGTGCATGTGCGTCAACACATACAAAACACAGTGTGTGTATATACGTGAAACAAAACAACAAATACACACATGTGCTCTTGTGCTCCTCTCACGACCCATGCAGTGCATCTTTGCCATTTTCAAGTGCGAAAAATTATTATTCTCTTTCTGTATATATGTAAAAAAAATATATATATTACGCGTCCATTTATCGTCAGTTTCACGACTTATTAGAAAAAAAGAGCTATAAATACCGCATACACTATAACTTTGAATCCGTGAGATGAATAATAAGTTATGCTTGTCGCTTATTAAAAATAGAAACGTCAAATGGAGTTGACCCGAATTTCACGTTGGTTTTATTCAATTTCAAAAAAACGAAGTACCCAAGCACGAGGAGAAAAAACAGACTTTCAATTCGGTAAATAGATCCGAGAAAAAAAATCATGGAAACATATACCCCGTGCGGCTATTTAATTTTTTCTCGTCCCCCCGGAAAAAACATCATCGAGTCCGCGAAATTCTGCATTCACCAGAGCCTCGTCGCTGGAAAGAGAACGCAAGGGGGGACAAAAGGGCCGCGGTCGCCAATGAAAAGCGAACAAAGGACTCCCGGTACCGATCGGAGCCCCAAGTGGTAAGCTACACCAATATTCACCGCGCCCACGTGGTTTTTCAATGACGACGCAAACATAAAACATGTTTTAAGGTCAACAAACAACGCCAATACAGCTATCGACAAGTATCGCGCGAATGGGCACATTATACACCCGCCTCGGGACGAGCTCTGATGAATACCGCGGCGTTTCATGGACCCAACGGCTCATCGTTTGACGGGAATTTTCAATTTGATGGCAATATCGGCAGGTAGGTATTATCATGTGTGGCAAACAATGCGCATGATATATTATGTACACTTGCCCCCGAGGCTGTTTTGTACGCATAGGAGTCGCTCCGCGAGCGCGCATAAATCGAAACAACCGAAACACCCCACGAAAACGTGTAAGCACAAAAGAAAACGAAGATAAGATCTGCGACGAGAGCACCGGTGGAGCAAGCGACTCACCTCGGGGGTGACGAAGTAGCTGGGGCTCTTCTCTATGGTGATCTGCCCGTGGAAGGAGAAGGGCATCTTCTTGCGGTACCACTCGAGGCCCCTGTCAAAGTTCTCGTCCCGGTCGAAGAAGTGGACCTCGCCCGCGGCCTTTTGTATCTGCGGGTGGAGAAACAGCATCTCGAGGAGGGCCCGAGTGCCGCACTTGCGCACCCCGATGATGATGGCCTGGGGTAGTTGGCGATTAGTGCGAGGAAAGTGGGCCTTGGGGACCGGGTGGTTGCCGCTGAACACCGAGGCAGAGGGAAGGGGGGTCCGTTCGGTGGTGCCGAGGGGATCGAGGAGCTCGAGGTGCACGTCGTTGGTCTGTTGGGCCGCGGCGCGGAGGCTGTAGACGGCGCTGTCGTAGAGGATGTGGAAGGTGAGGAAGAGGGAGAGCAGGGCCACTGTGAGGAAGGCCGCGGCGAGCTTTGGCCGGGAAACGCCGACCACCAGGATGCAGTCGGACGGCGCATCGCAGTCGGCCGGCCTCATCGCAGGACGCGGCATCCATCTGGAAGTGCAAAACATATAGGTCGAATAGATCTTTTTTTTCTTTATCATCATATTATATGTAGTCTGAGATAAAATGTGTATATAACAAATGCGTTGTCCCGAAGTGCAAACAAATTCGAAGAAATTTCGATTCTACAGAGATAAGTAGAGCTGAAAATTTATCCGAATTTCAAACAAGACCTGTGTTTTTTCTTTTTCACCCCTCGGTTGTACAGGAGCTCATCTAACTTTTTAAACTCATCAAATTCTTATTTCATGGGATTAATTTTGCAAGTATACATTTCCACACTTACATAAGGGTGACAGGATACTTTGATCGAAATATGGTAAGCCATCAGCTCATTTCTTTTTTGTGGATACATAAAAGCGATATAAACTTAGCCAAGTTTCGCGCGGTATTAAAAAAATGTAGTCTTAAAACCAAACGACTAGCCGGTGTGTGTGTGTAGCATATCGCGATAAGCCATCGAAACTTTTATATGTTTTACTTTATTACATAAATCTGCTGTAACAAGATTTTTTATAGGAATCACGATGAGCATATCCTGGATGTACAGCTTGATTTTTTTTTTTTACGCAGACTATAACTATCTGATAAAAAAAAAAGCAAAAAAATGTCAAACTTGTGGTATTTGTGTGTTTCGTTAAAAACACGCAACGATGCATCCGATGGATATTTTTTGTTTTACAAATATTCGTTCGCGTGTGTTGTGACGTGCAGGTACACACGTACAAGATACAAATTCAATTAAAAAAAGTTTTTCGAGCTTCTCGCTTTTAAAGCTGAACGCTACTCAAGGGTTCTCGAACATTTTTTTTCAAATAAAACTTTATTCCAGACTCACCCAAGATGAAACGAAATGGTTAAAAACTAAAAAAAAAGTAAGGCGAAAGCGCGGTGGTATCCGGTAATCCCGAGTTCACGAAATAAACAATTAGAAAGTATGTCACTCGTACAGTGGTAGAGAAAAAAACAAGGACACTCCTGTAGTACATAGGTATGCGTTCTTTCGCCGCGCGTTAAAAGAAAACTTTTATTTATTTTTTTTTTTTAAGTGCAAATAACATTAATTTGTTCGTACACATGCGCTTGGCGAACTTTTTGACGTTTATGTCCCGGTGCAATTCCGAAAGTTTGATACACCTGATTGCAGTTCCACAAAGAAAAGAAATCCACAAAGAAATTAAGACTGGAAAAGCTTTTTTTTTTTTTTCTTTTTTTTTCAAATGAAACAAGCGCGAAACTTTTATGCTAGCCGTCATATTACATAATAGCGTATACAAGATTGCACGTGATTCGTTACAAAGGGTGTGTTGGTCAATAATTGCAAAGAAAAATACCGTATCGAGCAAACTTGGTCTTCCTCTCCGATGTGCGTGCGGAGTTTGAACGATTTCGATCGAATTTGTTTGCCAAAGTTGAGAGCAGAGTTGAGCATATATATACGCGAGAGGCATGAAACATTGATAACATTCCAATTCCATTTATTTAGCTGCGTATTGACTCGGCAGAAATTTTCCCATCTGGTACTTTACTCGCAATCGAGCTGTATTAATTTCATTGAGCGCAAATCGATCGCACGAAATGCGTTACATCACCGATCGAGCAGTGAAAAATGCTGTATAAATAATAATATACGTATAACAATGTCGTTCAAATGAAAAGGATTCTTTTTTTTTTTGCGCATCCGAAGAAACAAAATGGCAAAAAAGGTCACGCGATGCGGTAAATTGGATTTCGAAATCCCCTGTCTTCCATCGATCGATTTGAAATTGGCTCGATTAAGTATTTCCCGCGCGTGCAGCTTCGACAAATCGCTTTCGCGGCACATTCAATATTTGCCCCGAGTTCCAATGCCCTATTTGCCCTCTCCTTCGCCCTTCCACGCGACATTTTTCTTCGGTGCAACGTGTATATATATATATTATACGCTATACCGAGCTCTCGGCAAAGTTCCCTCTTTTACATCTACTATATAATACCACGTGTGTGTATGCAGCATCATATCGAGGAAACTCGTCCGTTTTTTTCTCGAAAAATTTTCCCACTAATTTCCCCCCCGATCGACCGAGCGAATACCATACCACCGTCCTTCTGTCTCCGTTTGGAGAATACACGGGCGCGTGTCGTTACGCAGTCGGTTGGCGGTAGATAATGTCATACACAACGCGCGAAAGTAATACACGAGGGAACGACGGAAGAGCAGCACCGATGGCTCCAGGCAGCGCAGCCTCCCCTCGTGTATTACTACCGGGTGAATAGTAGACGCTAAGTGGCGGGCCATAACCGAGGAATAAAAATCTCCACGTAACTTTGAATCATCGCGGTACTAAGCGCTACGAGAGGGTTGTTTTTTTTTTTCCCTTTTATATATATGTACCCACTCCTTCAGTCGTCGCGTGCCACTCGAGCATTACTTTTCGGCATCTCTCCGGCAATAATCGCTTTGCGTTGCAGTGGCCGTGTGTGGGGTGAGCGTGTGGAGACCGTTCACCCTTTCGCCTCGAAAATATTGCGAGCTCGGTGTGTTACGTGGGTCGTTTCGCGTCTGTGTTTGTACAACGTTCCCGCGAGTACGAGCAAACCCGGGGCACACCTGACCTGCAGAGGCAATATTTGCACTCTGACGGATTCCTCTCGGCAAATGCCATTCGTGATTTCGCGCTCGGGTCGATGCACCCCCCCAAAAGTTTGCCACTCCGTGCTCGTGGTCCCACGATGTGTTTGTGAGATACTGTTTTGCGGGTGACGTATATATATATATATTTATGCACAGCGACCGATGCCTCGTAGTTTTTTTATTAGAAAAGGGGAAAGTGTATGTATTTTTTGATTACACGTTAATAATGATAAATAATGGTTGGTTTAAAAAAATAATGTGATTTTTTTTTATACTTTCGCCCAATAAGAATATGGTTACTTGGGTGTTCCAAAGTAAGGTCGCGTCCGATGAAATTTTCCGTAGATTCAGCCACTTGTTCAAACGTCACGCCACGTCTGACAAATCTCATTCGTACTACTCGCCCGTGGCGTGAAATTAAGCAAATTGAGACAATTTCACTTTGCCTCGTGTGTACGGATAAGGCAAAAAAGTAAGTAATCTAATCGTTTACACATACGGCCCTTCAAGTCATTCAATTTATTGGTACAAGGAAACGCTCGTGGTAATTGCGTTGGAATCGATTTTGCGATTTAAAAAGGACATGCCTCATGGGTGTAATTCAATCGCCTCGAAGTCGTGTGATTATCTCTCGGTAGCGTTGATTAAGATCTCGACTCCTTACCCTCGTGGTAAATAGCAGTCCGCGTGTTTTTCTTCGTAGGAACGCGTACGGTTATTGCGGGTCGAGAGAAAAAATGGCGAAAGCGCCGGACCGAAAATTCATTATAAAAATAGTGGCTTGCATATCATTACAGGCACGAAAGCTCGTTTAAACTTTTGCGTCCTTCCCGTGAAAGCTTGTGTAATCGCTTTACAAGACTTTTAAGCAGCATCTCTGCCACGAGATGAATGAATTTTCTTCTTTTGTATTTTTTTTCCCCCTTCAACTTGGTCGGCGTTTTTGTTTTTCTCAAGACTAGGGAAAAATTTCCTCTGGGGTAAAGTTGTTGGGAACCAAACGAGGAAAAAAAAAAACCTCCTTTCAGCCGCTCTGTGTGTGCACACCTTGGTGATTATACAGGACGCGTACTATTATGATTATCGTTGTTATTAATTTTTTTTTTTTTTTTTTTTTATAAAAAATGTAGGTAGGTGTTTGTTCGATGAAAATCCAGATTACGTATAGCCTTACCCGGGAATAATAATTAAACACCGGCTCAGCTCGTGCTCGAGTTAATGATCAACGCCGAGCGATAAGTTTATTTTGGAGCGATGATGAGTTGCAGGAGTAATTTTGTCAATATTTCTCGACAGTGAAATATTGAAATAACGGGGCAGAGATATTATCGACTATATTTTTATTTTTATTTTTACTTCAAGGTTCTTTTTTTTTTTTTTACCACTTTGGTTTGAGCTGCTATATCGCGTGTAAAATGAAGTGTCCGTTCGAATGAGGGTAAATGTGTGTATATACTTCACGCGTCAAAAGTTGAATTCAAAGTTTTAATTCTCTCGAAATGCGCTGTCTCGGCCAACTTTTTTAACTTTACGCATAAACAGCTCGACTGAGAGAGAAAAAAAAAGGAGACAAAGTTGCATTTTACTCGAATTTTTTCTAGCATTAAAACTTTTGTCCGTTCATCGGCCCGAGCGTATTATTTTCTAATTGCAAAGAAACTTTATCTGATAAAAACGTCCATTTGTGGAATTTCGTGAGCACGGGATGGGGAGGAATCCGTAATTGTTGAACAGAAATTTCCCAACTATTACTCAAAGTTCAAAATGAACATTAAAAAAAAGGGAAAAACCTGCTGCCAAGGAGAGGAAATTTTTCATCGAGTTTACAAACTACACCCTTTTCAACTTTGAAGCAAAAACTTGACCCAAATTCGCAAAGCCAAACTTTTCGAATAACACATCTTAAGCTCGAATTTTTTTTTTTTTTTTTTATTTCAAGCGATTTTGAAAGATCAGTATATTTCTTACTATCCTATAGGTAAGAATCGAAATGCAAACCTTTTTTTTTTTTTTTTTTTTTCTTAAAAAAACAAATCCACGAGAAAGTACTCGTTTTCAACCCGCGTGTGAGTTCTATCTTCCCTAAGGTACGTCAACACACACAGATTGCCTCGATCCAACGGATTTTTCAATTTCACGCGACATGATTTTCTTTTCATTTGTAGATCGTCAAAACGGAGTAAATTACAATTTTCGCGGGACTCACGGTGGCCGGTTGCAACCGTTACTGGCGGTGGCAGCCATAAATTACCATCCCGGGATTTCACTCCATGCTTATTTTAGACGCAAAAACGGCCTCGCTACTGTACACACAAAACAGCGATAAATAATCCACGCTAGCTAGGGTGAATATATAATACCGCGTAGCTCGTAATTT